CCTGAAAGTTGGTTCTGAAATGGTTGCAGCATCAACTTGCGGAACCGCGATAGCCTCAAACCATTGGTATAGTGGTCTAGCATGAATAAAATGTAGTTATTTCAGGAGGTTGGTGGGAGTGGTCCAACCAAGTCTACTTGCACTAAGTCATTTGGATAGCCAGTAATAATGGGTTCTCACAATGTGTGTGCGGAGCCTCAGAGTCACAGAAATTCAAGATATCCTTCCTCTGATGTCGCCACCAATAACGCCTTTAGCTGCTTCTATCATCTCACCTGAGCATGGTGGACTAACTGCTGATGTACAGACAACAGCAGTGTAGGTAATGCCGACTGTAGGGCCATAACGCGGCGATTAAAAGTGGTAGTACAGGATGTTATCAATAATTTTCAAGTTGTCCCAAGGAGAACATAAACACCGAGTTTCTCACTCAAGCTTACTTATACCCTGACTGAGCTGTCGGTCATTCGTCTCCACTTCGAATACTCACGTAAATGAGAGCCGGTTCAGGGCCTGTAGATTGAAGTTCGGGCCAACTATATTAATTATGGGCCTCTAGTTGGAGCAGGGAAACTTGTATTTAGATGCATGATGGACAGTTACCGTGATGCCTAGTAGGTTTTCTTGGCACTGCATCTTCATTTCCGTGATTTTTTCCATGTTTGTGTTTGCATTCGAAGTCGTACTCTTGCATGTGCTTTTGCCATCCAGCAAACTGACCCTCAGCTTCTGTGAGGTTATGTGGCCAGCTAAGGGCTTTGTGATCAGTCCTTACAGCGAAACACCTGCCGATGATATATGCTCTAAAGTGTTTAACGAGGTTGCCTAGCGCCAGCATTTCTTTCCGCGTGATGCAGTAATTTCTTTCACTCTTTTTGAGTGCTCGACTTGTACTGACTACCCCCTTTTCTGCTCCATCTGCATCCTTTTGGGACAGAACAGCCCCGATACCCACGTCGCTAGCTTCTGTATCTATAATGAGCGGACCTGCCTGGTCAGAAACGTTCGGATATGCTGGGATAAGAAAGCCACGTAAACAATCTTTAAGTCTTTCGAGGGCTCCAGTAGCTGATGCTGTCCAACCGTAACTCTTCTTCTTAGGAATGCGGAATAGAGAAGCTGCAAGTAGAGAAATGTTGAGTAGAGAACGTCTATAATATGAGGCTAACTCTAAACAACTATGTAACTCGGGAGCTGAATTTGGGAGTGGCCAGTCTTTAACTTCCTAAACTTTGCTGGATCAAAAGTGTCGTCTACACGTGGCAGGGGAAAATAATCTCATCTAGTTAACTGGTTCAACTTGCGATAATCTACACACAACCGAAGTGTTCCGCTCGAATTATTAACTAACTTCAGGGAAACCCATGGAGATACGGCCGGTTTGATGAGGTTCTTCTCTAACAGCTCATCAGCTAACTTATTCAGCTCCTCCTGGTAACAGTTCACATAACGGTCTAGCAGTTTGTAGTTTCTGAAAGTGCGAGTTCTGTGGCAGTCACCACCCTCTGTTTCTGGATCATAACATCGCCCTGCACGCCAACAGTGCCGTGCTCCAAGTCGTTCTTCATAATAAATGGAATGAAACTGTCATTCGGTATAAGTGTCTTCCGACTGCAGTCTGTTGTCCCGGACGGCTTTGCCATGAGGTCGACTCCTATAACTACTTGCCACGGCACCCGAGGAGATACTATGAAAGAGTGCTAAAGGAACAATGTCCATAATGATGGAGATGGCAGGACCACTCGCTTGAGTTGCATGCAGCCTCCATTGGCTGTCGTAGGCCGCAGCTTGCGAGTCCCAATTGTGTGCCTAAGAGTCTCTGGAACACATGAGGAATGTCCGACAGAACAAGTTGGTCCTACATCTACTAACACAACACAGATCTTGTCACCCATAAATCCTGGAACTTTCGGGGGGGGAGGTGACGCCGATTAGGTAAACCATAGGTATAGAGTTTATATCAGAATGTGACTCACCTGTGTTGTGCCCACAATTTTCGGCAAGCTTAACAAACTGCCCGCAGTAGTAGTAGTCGTTTCTTGAAATGGATTGTGTTGATGGACATCTCTTCCACTGTGCTTTGGGCTTGTGTGCGTACTTTGTTGTCCTGTGTCGACATCCCAATGCGTTGACTTGTGGACATGTGGTTCCTGGAGACGCAAGATGAACTGGTTGATGGATTCACCTTGTTTCTGGTTGCACTAGCTGAGTTTTTTCAGCGACTCTGTATAAGGTACTGGTGGCACTATACGTACTCCTAGAGTACTCAGAAGGGTAATCAAGGGCACGTGCGCATAATCCAAACCAATTATGCTCATTTATAGGGACCATCTAACACAATCGGTGGTGAATGCATTTGGATGAGGCACGCGCATCAGGTCTACGTGTGGACACACCTTGTCCAACCACAAATCGAAGTCATTCCAGACCTCCAGTATATCTGGTAAAGGATAGACATAACGCGACACATGCTGATTTGATTGAAAAGCTCGAGCCATAGCTTCAGTCAACTGGTCAACAACCTCGTTAGATGCCGTCTGTCTGACAGGAGAAGTGTTCTTCGAAGCCTCAGTGACTCGAGACTTCGAAGAAGAAAGTTTCTCGTTGGCGGACTCGCCATTTATGCAATCCCGAACGTCAAGGAAAGATCTGAAACAGAGAGCAAAGAGCATGTTATCATGATGGTCACACAAGTGTCATGAGCTACCTATCCATGCCTGTACAACTGATGTGTCCTACATAGATAGGAATAAATATATATATATATTATTACTATAACGAAGACTCAAGGTCAAGGATCATATTTGTAGCCAATCATTGCACAATCATGTGAGAGTGAGGGACTATTCCTATTGATGATCCACTGCATCGTCTTGGGTGACCAATCCCTGCACGCTACTTAACCAACCTGAAATTACACAGATAGTTTAGACAATGGAAAACCGCCGAACTTACCATGCCTCACAGTAGCTTAGTTTGACTTCAGAGGGAGTCATAAGTCCGTTGGCGGTATGCTTTTGGGAGTATGCAGTGTGTTAAGACAGTGTTAATGCCCCGTCTATTCGCTAAAAGAGACATAATAGAGACAACAGATATGATCAGTGTAGACTTATTGTTATCGCTCCCTTATGTTCTCAACAGAGAATAGTTCTTCAGCAGCATATCTCCGCCTTGTTCTGATTTCCGCTCTCCACTCTAGGTGGCTACCCTATTACCCACAGCGACTGGAGGACCGCTCAGACGCTCTCCTCTTTGTGACCCTTGAACCGATGTCCAACTCGTCGTTCTCATTCGTATGTCCAACTGAGCGATGGCCTGTCGCATGACCTCATTCAGCGGACTCCTCAGGATGAGTTAGATCCACCACAATTTCCTATCGTATATTTGGTGAGGAAAGAGTTACTGTTTGATTTATTCTCATAGTTTGTTGTTACCAATTATTACCGCCGGCCATCGGATCCCCAATATGGAGCTAGTGAGGGCAGCCGTTGATGAAAATCCGTTGGAAATACTTCTCGTGAC